TTACTTAGAAGACGCTAGCTTTTGGGGGGATTTATGGCAAGATACCCAGCTGCAGGCTTACGTGGGCGGCTTAGGTCTAGTAATGTGCACTGTTAGCATTAGCGGCTGGAATAGCTGCAATTTAGGCTTTAGGCTGGTCGACGAAACCAACACCCCACTACCGCCTTATAGGAAAAAAATGAACAGCAGGCATTCGGCTCACTTTTCATTTGAGCCTACGCCAAGGAGCGCAGAGAACTTAACGTCGGTAACTTTTCATATGATAGTTAATTGTCAACGCGTAAAGTTGCAAGTGCGCCCAAGCGACGCCCGCACGATTGCAGGGCAAAAGTACATTGGCTTTGTTGGAATAAACACCATTCATTCTGCCGTGGATGTTCCTAAAGATGAAATTTGGAATCATAAGTCCATTAGCACCATTAGTGTGCTGCCTTTACTACCGCGCTACCAGGGTGGTGCGAATACCATATTCGCCCCCCGTTCGCAAACAAGGACGCCTAAGGAGGAAGTGGGGGAAGTAATGCGCTCGGATAAGCTTAAACCTTCATCTTCTTCAGGAATACCACCCCAATAGCGACGACTAATATCCAAATGTTATTCCCCACGAACTTCAACAGTTCACCGCCCGCCTTCAGTGTTAGGCTTAAGACGCTACCAAGCAGCCCGGGAATGCTGGCTGCCATTGTTTTTCCCAGGGCTATTAGCCCATTACCTAATTTTTTTCCCATTTCCCCCATTTCTTTTCCCACCTTTTTTCCAAGCGCCTTTGCACCTGAGGCCACGCCGTTAATTGCATTCATAATTCCAGCAATAGCACCCGCAAGGGTAACTGCGAACGCCAGCGGCACGCCATACTTCAAAAGGCCTCTTAGTATTTTTTGTCTGGTGGTAAGCCCCAGCTCCCTTTCCAAGCCTTCCCTTTGCGCCTGCAACTCCGCAATTCGTTCCTCTAGGGACCCTACTTGCGCCCGAGCTGCTTCTCTTTCTCCTTCGGTGCGAGTTTGATCGTCGATTATTTCCCGTTGCGTTTGTATTTGCCTTTCCAGGTCCTCTATGGCTTGCTCTCTTTGTCTTAATTGCTCCTCCTTGACGATGATTTCCGTGTTTAACCGCCGCTCTTGCATTACCGAGGCTTCCAGCTGCGCACCCACGCGTCTAAGTTCAGCGTTACTATCTCCAACGTCTCTAACTGCGCGGTCGAAGTTTTTTCTAGCAGTATCCCTTTCAAGTAGCAACATGCTAATGCGGTGCCGAGCGTTTTCGCTTTCCTGATCATGGGAGTCTAACATTGCTCGCATTTGCTTCATGTATTCATTTTCCTTAGTATTCATTTCTTGCATTAAGTATTCGATATGTTCCGCCTGCTGTTGTAATTCAGCGTTTCTTTCCTCTAATTGCTCCGTAAGTTCGTCAAGTTGTTCCGTATGTTTGTTTATGAGTTCTTGCTGCGTCCTTTCTTCCATGTTGAGGGATTCTAAAGACTGCTGCAGCTGCAAGGCAGCGCTGCTGCCCGACGGCGTACTCGTTAGCTTTTCCTCTACGTCTTCCTTGGTAGCCTGTATTTTCTTGAGCCTTTCTTGATCCTTATCCAGAATTCCAGCGATGGCATGCATTTTACTGGTAACCTTGGGGGTCTTAATGCCTTTGA